GTCTGTGTATGAGAAAGTCTGTGTATGAGTAAGTCTGGATATGAGTAAGTCTGAGTATGCATAATACTGTGTATGAGTAAGTCGGGGTATGAATAAGTCTGTGTATGAGTACGTCTGGGTGTGAGTAAGTCTGTGTGTGAGTAAGTCTGTGTATGAGTATGTCTGAGTGTGAGTAAGTCTGAGTATGAGTAGGTCTGAGTGTGAGTAAGTCTGAGTATGAGTAAGTCTGAGTATGAGTAGGTCTGAGTATGAGGAAAAAGGAGGAGGGGAGGAGGAACGAGGAGGAGGGAGAGGGAGTAGGAGGCGTCCAAGTAATAACAAGAACCCCATCTTAGGATATGGGGAACAAGCAAACCGCCTGAGACATCCCCACAATATGGCCGCGAACGAGCCCGTGCAACCACCCCTGGCGGCTCCTCTTAGCGGTGCTGAAACCAGCGCCCCGCCTGAGACATCTTCACAATCTGCTCTCCAAGCGAAGGATGTTGGGCCCAGAAACAAGCAAACCGCCTGAGACATCCCCACAAAATTGCCGCGAACGAGCCCGTGCAAACACCCCTGGCGGCTCCCCTTAGGGGTGCTGAAACCAGCGCCCCGCCTGAGACATCCTCACAATCTGCTCTCCAAGCGAAGGATGTTGGGCCCAGAAACAAGCAAACCGCCCGAGACATCCCCACAAAATGGCCGCGAACGAGCCCGTGCAAACACCCCTGGCGGCTCCCCTGAGGGGTGCTGAAACCAGCGCCCCGCTTGAGACATCCTCCAAATCTGATGTGTGTTGAGTAAGTCTGAGTATGAGTAGGTCTGAGAATGAGTCTGCCTGAGTATGAGTAAGTCTGTGTATGAGTAAATCGGTGTATGAGTAAGTCTGGGTATGAGTAGGTCTGTGTATGAGAAAGTCTGTGTATGTGTACGTCTGGGTATGAGTAAGTCTGAGTATGAGTAATACTGTGTATGAGTAAGTCTGGGTATGAGTAAGTCTGTGTATGAGTACGTCTGGGTGTGAGTAAGTCTGTGTATGAGTAAGTCTGTGTATGAGTATGTCTGAGTGTGAGTAAGTCTGAGTATGAGTAGGTCTGAGTATGAGTAAGTCTGAGTATGAGTAAGTCTGAGTATGAGTAGGTCTGAGTATGAGGAAAGAGGAGGAGGGGAGGAGGAAAGAGGAGGAGGGAGAGGGAGTAGGAGGCGTCCAAGTAATAACAAGAACCCCATCTTAGGATATGGGGAAAACAAGAACCCGACTTAGGATGTGGGGAAACACTGGACTAGAACCGAATGGAAGGTAACGAACCAGAAAGACAAACGGAAAACGGGGGGAACACAAACACTAGAAACGGGTGCTTGAATCAAAAAAGGAAAGTAGGTAATTCCCTGCCAGCGAGCTCCATAACACACACACACACACATCACAATCGCTGTGCAAACAACAAACTGAATCATTTTGGAGTTATGATGGGCCTTCTTGGGAATTGCTGGGGGCTTCTCGAAAACTATTCGGGCCTTTTCTGCGTGTTTTGTCCGGGTCAGGGCCCTCTTACCCCGCTTGACACCTTCGGAAGCTGCCTTGTGGGCGTCTGCAGGCTGTCTTGGAGCGCTCTGGGGCCGTCTTGGAAGCCTTTTGAACCGTTTTGGGGCTCTCTTGAGGCCGTCTTGGGGAGCTCTTGGGGCCGTCCTGGGGCTCTCTCGGTCTCCCTTCGGGGCTCGCGTAAGGCACTGTGGGGTACAATTGTGCCCCCAGTGGCCCATCTGAAGCGAAAAGGCGAGAGGGCGAAAACGATTGGTTTTCCAATGGCTGCTGGCAGATTTTGGATCCTCGGGGGCCACCGTGGGCGTTTTGGAGTTGTCTTGGGGCGAGAGGGAGTGGAACGGAGTGAAAGTGGAGCGGAGCGTACTGGGGAAGAGATGGGAGCACTGGGAAGGAGCTGTGGGGGCGGGCTGGCGTAACAGTGACTGGAGATAGGCGTGGAGGACGCTGGAACAGGAAGGATGATCACGGGCAGAATTGACCGCACAGGACACGCGACAGAGCACAAACGACGGCAATCGGCGATGGACAGACCCCCCTTTAGCAAAACGTGGTTTCGTGAAAACGACCCGAGGCCCAAACCCGGCGGGCGCAAGCCTGGAAAATAGCGGCCACGGCGCCCTCTCGAGAACCGAAAACGGACAATTCGCTAGTCGACGTGTCACTGTTGGGGGTTCTGCCCACCCCCGAGGCAACATGGCCTCCCAGACCACAGGTCGCGAGGAGGAGGAGGAGGAGGAGGAGGAGGAGGAGGAGGAGGAGGAGGAGGCACCCGACTGGCCGAGCCGCCCGCCTCGTGGAAAGTGTGGCATGGTGCGCCGCCCGCGCCCCCCCCCCCCCCTGGCCCTCTGGCCGTAAGTCGGGCGTGTCCCCCTACAGGGGGGCTCTTCGACGAAAAAGCAGCAATGCTCACAAAAAATGCACCAAAACGGTCCCCCCTTCCAAAATGGTCCCCAGGCTATGTCTTGTCTATTCTTTGATATTCCCCCTGTAGAGGGATGGGCCCGACTTGACCCCGGCCCTCTGGCCCTCTGGGGGCGATCGCGCGACCTGTCGCCACGGCAGGGGACCCAAGATAGAGGGCGCGGCCGCGGGCGTCGCAGACGAGATGACGCGCAGTCGTCCCTCCCGCGGGAGAGCGACTCCTCCGCCCTCCTCCTCCCTGCTCCTCCTCCTCCTCCTCCTCCCTCCTCTCCTCCTCCTCCTCCTCCTCCTCCTCCTTTTCCTCCTCCTCCTCCTCTTCCTCCTCCTCCTCCTCCTCTTCCTCCTCCTTCTCCTCCATGGCGGAGGACCGGAGAACAAGGGCGCGGACGCGGACATCACAGACGAGAGGACGCGCAGACCACCTTCCCGCGGCAGGGCGACCTGGATAACTGCGGCGTAAGGCAAGAAGAGCCGGGTGGAGAGGAGTGGAGCGGAATGAGTGGGGAGGGGTGAGGCGTTGAGAGGGAGGCGGGACCACAGGGAAACTCATCTTATTCCTCCTCTCTCGCCTCGGTCCTCGATACCCCTCCTCGAACCTCTTTCCTCTCCACGAACCTCCTCCTCCTCCTCCTCCTCAACTTCCTCAATCATCCTCGACCCTCGATCCTCCTCCAGGATCCTCCTGCCTCCTTCTCCTCCTCCTCCTCCTCGATCCTCGATCCTCGATCCTCCTCCTCCTCTTCAGTTATCGATCCTCGATCTTGGATCATCCTTCTCCTCCGTCCTTAATCGTTATCCTTCTCTTCCTCTTCGATCATCCTCGTCGATTCTCGATTCTCGATCTTCTATATCTCTTGAGCTCAACGCCCTTTCTGCCTGATGGCCGAGCACTGCGGCGGCAGGTAGCACAGCGCACGTTGCACTGGAAGCGAGAGAACCCCACCAACGACTCCCAGAAGCCCCGAGAGGAGCACGCACAGAGGGATGCTGAGAGAAACGGGAGGCACGCCAGGCCAACGTCGGACGCCAGAGCTGGCCTCTTCCTCCAGAGGCTGCCACCGCACGCGGCGCAGCTCGGCCGAGAGGGAGGGTCCCTCTCGCAGAGACCCTCTCGAGCGGGTGGACCCCCGCGGCCCCACCTGGCTTCGAGCCGCGGCGGAGCCTGGGCTGGGGGCCCAAAGTGAAGTCGGGCGTGCCCCTCTGCAGGGGGGATGCTCAAGAATAGTACAAAATAGTGCCTGAGGACGATGTTTTGACAATTTTTGAGCATCTGGGGGGTATCTTCTTCTTCTTTTTCTTCTCTTGTTTGTATTTTTCATTATTCGCCCCAAATCCCCCCAACTTAAGCCAAAAGGCTTGGAGGCAACTACTGGGAGGTTCTCGTCGGAAAGACTAAGGAGGCTTAAGCCCCATTTGGGAGCTGTTACGCGGGAGTGAGCCTCGGATTAAGCGGGATTAAGCGGGATTAAGCGGGAGTAAGCCGGATTTCGGACCAGGACAAAATCAGAACTTGACCTCACAGGAGTTGCATCCGAAAAAAGGCGAGTGCGCGAGATGATCCTGCGCCGACAGCTCGGCGTCCTCTCTACGGAGGGCCTCTGCCGCCGTCGGAGCCTACAGATACGAATTCACACTTTAAAAGTATCTGTCAGATCGGATAAGTGCTGTGTGCAAAGCTTGATGTCTCCAAGGATCCATCCAGAAGTCTGGAACGTAGACTGGTCATGCCCCAGCACTCGGGAAGTCCCCCGCGAATGCTTTGGGGCCTCTGCATGCTGGCGCTGCTGGCGACGGCTGCGCCCTGGTCCCCGGCCTGAACTTCAACGAGCCTTCCCTCCCCTCCGACTCTTCCTTGCCCTCGCCCTGGTCCTCCGCCCTGTCCTGCTCGTCCTCGTCCTCGCCCTGGTCCTGGTCCCCTCGAGGCCGTCTCGGGACCGTCTTGAGGTTTCTCGGGCGGTCCGGAGGCCACCGGTCTCCAGGCCATCTGGGACCGTCTGGGCGGTCTCCAGGGCCGTCTTGGGGCCCTCTGGAGCCGTCCGGGGACTGTCTTGAAGGGTCCGCCTCCTCCCTCCCCCTGCTCCTCCTGCTTCTCCTCCTCCTCCTCCTCCTCCTCCTCCTCCTCCTCCTCCTCCCTCCTCCCTCTTCCTCCTCCTCCTCCTCCTCCTCCTCCTCCTCCTCCTCCTCTTCCCTCCTCCCCGGGGCCCCAGCCCCGAGACGCCGCACCTCATCGATGAGACCCAGCCGCTGCTGCGCCAGTCTACCAAAAATTGCAGCCCTCCGGCGCCGAGGCGCCCCGAGACCGGTCTCGGCCCGGGGCTCGACGATGCTCGGCGGCTCGCCTGCAGCTGGGGCCCTTCGGGAGCCTCCACGCGGCGAGCACCTGCCCGGGTGCGCAAAAACTGCGCGATCGGATGTCCTTGGGCCCCTGCCGCCTGTCCTCCCTCCGGTGCTCCCTCACCATCTCTCCCCTCCCGGCCTGGCAGCTCCAGCTCTGGCCTGCGACCGCCCGCGCAGCGCGCACGCGACGTCATGGCGCGCCCGGGCCGTCGGCTCACCCCTGAAGGAACCCCTGGCGGATCAGGCTGAGCAGGCGGTTCGGCCGCGGAACATCTGACGCCTTCGGGGCCCTTGCAAGCTGGCGCTGCTGACGGCGGCGCTGCGCCTTCGTTCTCGGCCTGAACTTCGGCGAGCCTTCCCTCCCCTCGTCGTCGCTCTCGCCCTGGTCCTCCGCCATTGCCTGCTCGCCCTGGTCCTCTGCCATTGCCCGCTCGCCCCTCCGCGTCGTCCTCGCTCTTGCTGCTGGCGGCGCTGCCCCCTCATCCTGGACCTCCGCCTCGCCCGCCGCTCGCGGAGACTTGGCTGGGCCCGTGGGGCCCTCCGCGACGTCCGCCGCAGCGGGTGCCGACGGGCCGCCCATGAGCGCGAGGCCCGCCCGAGTCTGGTCCGCCTCCGAGGCCTCGAAGAGGGCGCAGCGCTTCCGAAGCAAGCCGGCAAGCTCCATCGATGGCGACCTGCGATCCACGACGTACTAACAGCGACCCTGAAGATTCGAACCCGGTCTGCTGGAGCCAAAGTGGCTACGGAGGCGAGAGCGCCCCTCCTGAGGCTCGGGCCCTCTCTGGCCAGGGCCCCTCGGAATAGCTTGTGAGGCAGTATCGCACAAGAGCGTTGCACTGCGATCTCTAGAAATGGAATTGTTGGTCCCGCTTCCGGTGGCCATATTAATTTTAAAACGAGATGCCCCCCCAGGAGGTCGCACCCTGTTTTCATCAGGGAAAATATGGTGTCACCAAACTGGGCTGTCGGCCCCCAGTTGGCAACAACAGCGGCTCCCGCCTGATAGTTCCTCACACTGGATTCCAACATAAGGCTCTCATGTGGGACTTCCTCACAATTTATGCAGGAATCACGCTTTCGCGCGGTTCCGCCTAACAGTTTATTCAAAGGCCGCGCCCTCGACGTTCAAGAATGGCCCTTTATCTTTGGCCCTTTTTACGATTTACTTGGGATTCGCGCTATCGCTCAAGACTTCGTCGCGAGTCATGCAAGACTCACGTTTCAGCAGCCCGCCTGCTCGACCTGGCCGCCTGGGCACGCCTGCCCGACCCGCCCATTAGGGCCTACCCGCCCGATCTGCCCATTTGGTTCTGGCACGTGCTTTTTGCTCCTAGCCCCTCCTGCTAATCTCTTTCGTGCTCCATCCTTCTCCCTCCCCCTTCCATCTGTCCCCCCTTCCCCTGTTTTTGGGGGCTGCGCTAAACACACGTGGCAACTAAGGAAGATATGCCCTCAAGGGTGGACGATCGAAGACAAAGAGGGCGGGTATCGAGGGTTTGGGATATACGTGCTTAATGGCACGGGAGCTGGTAGGAGCGATCAGTCTTAAAATGAGTGGTATTGCTTTTGAATTCTCTGTTCTAGCAAAACTAGATACGGTTGATTCCTCCTTCGGTGACCATTCTATTTCGTAAATTGAACTGCCTCTCTTAGGGCTCGCATATGATCTTGTTGTTGGCCCCGGGTTTGCAACAACAGCAACAACGACAACAACAACAATCATTTTAAGACTGCTCTCCCTTATCTGCTCGAGTATCCAATAACGCGTGATTCCGCCCTCTTCGTCTTCGATCGAACCCCTTTTATCCCCTTTTGGGGGGTATACCTTTCTTCCCTGCAGGCCGGGCCCCGGCAAGCGGCGGGGCGGCCTCGGACCGTCGGCCTGGCCAGCGGCAGCGCTGATCGGCGGGGCGGCCGCGGACCGTCGACCCGACCCCAAGAGGGACGGACAGGGAACCGACCACGACGACGACGACGTCGACGACGACGGCGACGACGACGACGACGGCGACGACGAGCGAAAGCGAGAGCGAGAGAGAACGACAGCAGGGCCACGAAGGACACGAAGTAGGCCACGAAGGGCGACAGCGGCGACAACGGGGACACGAAGGGAATGAGTATGGGGTCACGGAGAGCGCGAACGAGCGGGGGCCACGAAAGGCAGATAATGCGGGGCCACAGAAGGCAACGATGGGGCCACTGAGGGTAGCAACTGGGCCACGTGGGACAGTGAGGGGTCCACAAACGGCGACAGCGGGGCCACGAAGGGCATGCACATGGGGCCACAACGGGCGCGACTCCTGGGTGCCTGGGTGTCGGGAGCGCGGCGCTTAGGGAAATTGCAAGAATTCCAACGCAAGGGCGCTATTCTTCAGTAAATTGCAAGCAAGTCTCCAGCGAGAGCGCAACTCCAGAGCGCTGGGACAGCGATTCCTGAATAAATTGTAAGGAAGTCCCAAGCGAGAGCGCGATTCCTGAATAAAATGCGAGGAAGTCTCGGGCGGGAGCGGGGGTCCTGGCTAAATGGTGAGGAAGTCTCAGACGGGAACCGTTATTGTTGTAACCTGGGGGCCAGGGGCGCAATTTAAGCATCAAGACTTTCCTTTTTCAAAAAACAAGGTGCGAGCGTCGAGAGGCACACTTTGATTGAGACAAACCAGCATGCACCGGTGAGGCGGGATCCACAATAGTTATCTATCAAAAATGAAAATTCAGCAACGGCTCCCGCCTGATACTTCCTCACAGTGTATTTGAGAATCGCGCTCTCGCGCGAGACTTCCTCACAATGTATGCAGGGATCGCGCTCTCGTGAGGGACTTCCTGACGGCTTATTGCGGCGCTGGGCCCCCAAGACTCACGAATCAAGCTTTAGCTCCGGACTTCCGAACGATTTGGTTGGGAATCGCGCCATCGCTCGAGAGTTTCTTCAGGATGGGTTGGCGCATTGGCGACTCACCCGCTCGACCTAGCTGTCTGGGCCCGCCTGCCCGACCTGCCCGTTAGGATCTACCCGCCCGATCTGCCCGTCTGGTTCTGCCACATGTTTTCGGCTCCTAGCTCCCCTCCTGTTAACCTCTTTCGTGCTCCATCCTTCTCCCTCCCCCTTCCATCCGTCCTCTTCCCCTGTTTTAGGGGCTGCGCTGAACAAGCGTGGCAGGTAAGGAATACATGCCCCCTCAAGGGTGGACGATCGAAGACAGAGAGGGCGGGTACCGAGGGTTGGGGGCATACCTGTTGAATGGCACGCGAGCAGATAGTATATGACAGGAGCGAGCAGGGCTAAAGTGATTGTAGTAGTTGTTGTTGTGGTTGATTTCTTATGCCTGGTGAATAATGAACCGCTAACGCCGGATGATAAAGCATAGCTCCCCCTTAACTCCTGAGTGGAAAGTATCCCTGGGTCAGTCTGATTTGATTGTGGAGAGGGGCGGCGAGGCCGAACTTGATTATCGCGGGGGGAAGTTGCGAATCGAAGTTGCTATCTTCTTACGCTGACTAGCAGCATCATCAAAAACGCTGAGCATGGCACCAAAGGATGCCGAGCCTGCATGGGCGAATGATTCGAAGTGGTACGCAAGAGAGGTTTCTTGGCCAGGAGCGCCCAGGACGTCTCCTTCGCAGGCCACCTTTAAGCGCGAGACTCGAGGGCACCAAGGACAGCGTTGTGCGATGATCTAGTTACACGAGCGCCCAATAACATCATCATCATCATCATCATCATCATCATCATCATCATCATCATCATCATCATCATCATCATCATCATCATCATCATCGTCATTATCATCCGCCGGGAAAAATGTTTATTATCCCCCCAGACCCCGAACTTTATTATCCCCAGTGGTTTAATATCGCAGGTAGTCGGTTATTTTTTATCCCCCTGGTGAGCAGTGTACTTTTGGAAGTGAAGTGCCCCTCCCAGGGCTCGCGCGCGCTAGGGTCACCAACCTGCGCCGGTGGCCCCCGGTTAACAACAACAGCGGCTCCCGCCTGAGATTGCCTCCCAACTCAATTCAAATATGCGCTCTCGCGTGGGACTCCCTCACAGACTATGCAGGAATCGCGCTCGCGCATGGTACTGCCTCACAATTTATTGCGGCGCCGTGCCCCCAAGAGACAGAAGTTATGCTCTGGCTTCGGATTTCCTGACGATTTAATTGGGAATCGCGCCATCGCTCGAGCCTTCCTTCATGATGCGTTGACGCTTTAGCGACCCGCCGCTCGACCTGGCCGTCTGGGCCCGCCCGCCTGACCTGCCCGTCAGGGTCCACCCGCCCGACACGCCAGGCCAGTTCTGCCGCTCGTGCTGCTGCTCCTGACCCTCCTTCTGCAAATCCCACCAGCCCTCTGGGCGTAGGTGGTCTAGAACAGATCCTCTTCCACCCCTCCCTCTTCCCCCTTGGGGAGGGGTTTACCCCTCCCCCTACCCCCTCCCCTGGACCTGGACGGGGGGGGCCGCGGGTAGTTAGAGCGTCCAAGATGGCCCAAGACGGCTCCAAGAGCGCCTCAGAGAACCCAAGATGAGCTCCAAGATGGCTCAAGATAGCGCAAGATCGCTCACGATGGCTCCTAAGATGGTTCCAAGAAGCCCAAAGACGGCCCCAAGATAACTCCAAGTGGCCAAACAGCTCCCCAAGGAGGCCCCGAAGAGGCCAAAATCGTCCCAAAACCTAAGGAAAATCAATGATTTTTGCTTTCTCGCCTTTTCGCTTCCGATGGCTATCCGAGGCCTGGAGATGGCTCCAAGATGGCCCAAGAGGGCCCCAAGAGAGCCCCAAAAGAGCCCCAAGACGGCCCCAAGAGCGCCCAAGAGCACTCCAAGAGCGTTCCAAGAGGGGTCCAAGAGGCGATTTTAGGGGCTTCCGAGGGGGGGCGCTAATTAAACCCCCCCTCTTGTTTGATCGACTCCCTCCAAGATGGCCCCAAAAGCGCCCCGAAGGCTCCCCAGAGCGCCTCAAGAGGGTCCCAAGAGGCGCCCAAGATGCCCCAAGGCGCCCAAAAAGCCCTCCAAGAGGCCCTCAAAAGACCCCCAAGAAGCTCCTTCCCCTCCTCCTCCTCCTCCTCCGATTCTTCCTCCTTCTCCGTTCTCCTCCTCCTCCTCCTCCTCCTCCTCTTCCCCCTCCTCCTCCTCCTCCGACGACGACGACGACGACGACTCCTCTTCCATCCTCCCCCTCTCGGGGTCTGTGACAGCTTCCCCCGCCCTTTGTTATTCTGCATGCTCCCCGACTTCCCTGATCACCTTAACTCCCCTGAGCATCGTTTCTGGATGGGCTGGTGGGGATACGCGAAGCGTCAACAATTTCTTTCGTGTTCAGTTGTTTCCCCTCCCCCTTGTCTTTTCACTCCTTCCCGACTTCCCCTGCTTTAGAGGCTGCGCTAAATACACGCTGAAGGTAGAGAAGATGTACCCGCCAGGAGGGGGCACGATCGAAGACGAAGAGAGCGGGTACCGAAGGTTCGGGATATGCTATTGGATGGCGGGCGATCAGATAAGAGCGAACAATATTAAACTACTGGTTGTCATTGTTGTTATTGCTATTGTTGTTGTTGGTGTTGTTGTTGCTCAGAGATCATTCATGAAAATACTGTCAGTTGATCCCCCACCTCTGGTGACCATTGCATTTCCCAATTGAACTTATCTTCCCGGGGTTCGCATCCTGT